CCGCTCTCGAAGCCTTCATTCGCAAGCTCCGTGATACCGAACGCGCTGTAACGTGCACCCACCTCGTCAACTACCTCAAGCGGTACCATCGCGCGTGGCTCGACGGCTACCTAGCGAACACGAATTGTGGATACCAGTCGCTGCTCAAACTGCTGCAACGATTCTGCCACCGTCATGGCTTTACACGCCAGAAGCCAGCGAAGTCAAAGAAGACCCAAGCAGACCTTGCTGCCATCCGAAGCACGTTCGCTGCTGACTACCACAAGGCGTTCGCTGGGTTCAACGGCGACAGCATCATCAACGTCGACGAGACGGGTATGACGTACGACTTGCCACCTCATGCAATTTGGTCGGTACGCGGTGGTACGCCGAAGATTGCGAACTGCGAAAAGCACTCGTACCGCATGACAGCTGTGCTGGGTGCCCGTGCGAATGGCGAGACCATCTACCTTCGTAAAGTGTTGAAGCCACAAGTGCGAGAGCCCTCAGTTTTGTTGCTCGATAACTTCGACCCGCATGTTAGCAAGGAAGGAGTCATGATCGCCAGTGAAGATGCCGGTTGTGTTGTGGCAGCCATCCCGCCGAATGCCACAAGTGCTGTGCAGTTATTGGACGTTGGGGTTATGGCCCCATTTAAACGCCACTTGCGCAGTTTGTGGCTCGAAGAAGATCTCATCGAGGGTGGTGATAGTGAGGAAGGTGTAGATCCCATGACTGTACCAGCGCAGCAAAAGCGTTTGGTGATGATTCACCGTGCCATTAAGGCATGGGCTCGTATTTCGCCGGAAGAAATCCGTCGTAGTTTTGCTAAGGCTATTCCTCAATGAAAATTTTTCTTCGGCAAAAACAATCTTGCACTTTGTATGCTATTCGGAAAAAAGTTCGACGCGCCGGGGCTCACTCAAGACACACAACGTGTTTTTACCACTGCGCTATCCACTGCGCTATCGCGTCAAACGCTTATCAGTACAGGCGCTTCATCGATCCAATCAATTTAAAATACGTGATTGTTTGAAGTTCAAATTGCAGGGCCTGCAATTTGGTTGGCCACAAATCAATCGAATTTCGAAGTCCTTCGTCCAATGAATTTTCGTTGTCATGGTGAAATCGAAGAACAAAGTGTCCCTTAAAATCTGTCGTTGATTGTAGTCGATATTGATATTGATACTTGAATATTACGCTGTAAAGTTACCATCGCTCAGCGGGCACTTAATAGCCTCACGTATGTACTAGGTGACCTACATGTTTCACTAACATAGTTTATGGTTTGTATCAACACTGAACGAGATTATGCATGGTTCTCAGCTCGCATGAGTTGAAGGAGTTCAAAAGGTAAAGCGTGTGTAGTTCATAGCGTTGACGGTCGCCCATTTCACGGATAGTTAGGCGGTGGTCTATGTACTTTACTGTACCGGTATTACTGTATGTAGTCCATCCATTGTTTTCATCGACGATACCGGTATGGTATCATGTATAGTCTACATAGAATAGGAACAATTTACCAGATTCTGAACAAAAAGTATGTTCAAAAGAGGTACAGTAAGCTTAGTTCATAGTGAAGGGGGGGCATGTAGTATAGGGTGGTTAACGTGGCGAATATTCGACACTAAAGTTAACGTTTAGTTGGGGGCCGCTATAATGTATCTACACTACTTGTAGTTGTGGCAATTGATTGAATAGTTGATAATGTCTGAATACAACATGCAGTCTCCCCCCTTGCACTGTTATAAAGCCCTTCCCCAACAAATATTTTACATGCAACACTGTATTACGTGTGGCTGCTGTTGGCTTACATAGTGTAATATGTAGAATATTCCACAGATCCCCCCGCATCAAGTTGAATCCTAGCCTGCCCGACACCACTGCAAGCACTGTACACTTAACATGGAAGTTTGGGGGGCGTTATTACGTAGAAGTAATAGCTGCGAATACACCGGAGTAGTAGCAACAACCACCTGGACTCTACAGATGATGTTTTGCTGGATTGGATGCAACCACTACTTATTCCTCGATCATTTACTCAGCGACTCAAAGTAATTTAATTCAGTAATGTATTCAGTTGAGTTGAGTGCAGTAGTTTACAATGCACAAAACAGCAGCAGCCACAAGTAGTGTGTGGAATGCAAAGCAGGGCTTTAACGTTATGACAGGCAACTAACTATCAGCTAACGCTACGACTGTCGTATCCCCCAAATCAATTTCAAAACTAGAAGTTACTACTACTGTACGTAGTACATAATTGCGCCCCCTACCGTTCGTGCCTAAAAATTCCCAACTTTCGACACCCGCATATTAGCCCCCTTTCACTAAGTACAGCATCATCCCGAAAGGAATTACATGAAATGGCCGCGCCAATCGATAACGTTATCGAGCTGTTAAGTTAGCCATAGTTTGCGCGGAAAGTGTTGAATTCTAGATTACAAAGCACACACCAGAGATCTACCAACGTTATCGGTGATACGGGTGGTCATCAAGGCTCTAAACTTCAAATCGCTAAAACTATTTGACCATTCGTCAGGGTGGTCTATTTCAAATCAGGCACCATACAGTAGTTTCAAACGATCTCGTTCGAGGTTTGATGCATACTAGTACACTACTATTAAAGCACTCAGGCCCTACTCTACATCCAGTCCTGCATGTCCTTGCTTGGTGTCGTTTTGTACTCACAGTCAGTGTGTATTCACTTACTAGTACATGATTCGTTGCGTGCCAATGACCACGACAGGACTGCGAGGACTTGGTTAGCTGTACTAATTAGTGTTGTAGGATGAAAAGGCAATATATAAGTAAGAAAGAAAAAGTGACGTGTTGCGTGGGATTTGAACCCGGTTTATCCACGTTACAAGTGAAGTCTTGTT